CAGATTTCGACATGCGCGCGCACGCGAAGCCCGTTTTGGTAGCATTTTGTGAGAATCTTGAAAAACCTATGGTTTTCTTAAGATTTCGCAAGAGCTCGCGCGGAAGTTTTTAAGCAAATCAGCGTTGCGAAACCATGTGTTTTTGTATGTTTTTTTTCCCCGAAAACTCGATTGCGAAATCCTTCCAGCACCGAAGGTTTTTGAAGGATTTCGGCATGCGCGCGCGACGACGCGCGCGCGTGCACTTCGTCTCTCTCTCTCTTTCTCTCTCTCTCTCTCTCTCTCTCTCTCTCTCTCTCTCTCTCTCTCTCTCTCTCTCTCTCTCTCTCTCTCTCTCTCTCTCTCTTTTTTTTTTTCTCTCCAAGGGATTCGCGAAAAAGTGTTATGTTAGAAAGAATGTCCCCGCGTCGTGTTTTTTGGCAGGGGGCCGCAGGGGGGGGGTACCGGTTTGGCTGGGAATGGTATGAATTCATATTTAGGATGGACATGTGGTCAGAATCATACGCGATTTACAGCACGCGCGGGGGAAGCGATAAGTCCGGGGGCGGGGTAGAATTTATTTTTTTTTAGAAAGGAGAATCGACAGTAGCACTCAGCAGTGGGGAAGCATAATACTACGGTATCTTGAAAGGTGGAGCGACCGGCCTTCTGATCAAGGCCATATTGGAGGATTTCGGATTGTCGTTTGAAGTGCATGTAGTGAGCAAGGTGAAGGATGAGCTTTCTGTTTCGATTGCCTCGGACTCGTCCGCGGCGCGAGCGCTTGCACATAGGCAGGGCGCAGGCAAACAGAAGCATGTGATGACTAAGTTTCTGTGGATCTAGGAGAAAGTCCTGAATCGCATCTTGAAGATATTCCCAGCAGGCACTAGGGTGAACGTAGCTGACGTATTCACTAAGTGCGTTTCGCATGCGACAGCCTCTAGGCACCTGAAGGCCATGGGCTTTGTTTTCAGGACCGTCTGGAGTAGCCTTCATAGGAAGCTCTGAGTAATTTGTATCGTGTGAGTTCGAATTCGTATTGATGACTTGTCAGCAGGTCATGCCGACGCGTCTTAGGAGGAGTGCAGATATTCCAGCAGTGTGTGATATTGAGCCCGATTCTCACGTCTCACGATTTGTCTGCACGTGTGTAACGAGCGTTGTGCATTGTGTGACAGGCATGTTGTGTGTTTGTCTTGAATTCGTTTCGCAGCCATCTGGCTCGTTTCAGGCACTGCGCTGGAAAAGGGCCCATAACTCAGGGTCATATTATATCTACAGTGTTGCTTTGTTTTCACCCTTGCTGGTCATGCGAGGCCTCGCTTGCGTCTGGGGCGCATCAGCGCGGCGCAGCACAGCTGGACATGCATCGCACCCGCGCTGCTCATGTCCAATCTGGCGCTCGGGGTCGAATGCTCAAGTTCAGTCTCGCAAACAACCGTCGGGGCGGCCGCGTGTCGCGGCAAGGGAGGCGCGGGGGAGAAGTGGGATTAATTGACGGAGCAAGAGGAGGAGGAGGAGGAGGAGGAGGAGGAGGAAGGAGGAGGAGGAGGAGGAGGAGGAGGAGGAGGAGGAGGGCGGCGAGGAGGAAGAGGGGGGAGCGACTGGGGGGGAGGAGAAGGACGCGGAGGAGCAGGGGGGGGGGGGGGGGGGCGGAGGGGGGGGGGGGTGGAGGAGGAAGAGGGTGAGTAGGAATATGAAGAGAAGGAGGCGGAGGGGGAGGCTGGGGAAGAGGAGGGGATTGGCAGACTTAAAAGGAGCAGGCGCGGAATGATGAGGAGGGGGGGGGGGGAGGGGGGGGCGAGGCGGAGGGGGGGGGGGGTGGGGGGCAGGGTGAGTTTGATGGCGGCGCAACGTGTGGGGCTAATCGTGCCCCGCGTACTCGCGCCAGAAAGGAAGGCAGATCAGCGTGCGACGCTGTCTCGATCGAGTTCAACACTTGTGCGAGCCACCGACCGCAACGTGATGGCGAGCACGCTCGCCACCGAACAAAAAAGACCGCACCTGCGAGGCCGTCCGATCACGTACCCTTCTTGACGCACGTGTTCCAAGAGTCCCCTGCAGCCTTGTGCGCGTCCTCCAGCAGGGCAGCGGTCTGCGCGGACGTCGCGCCTGCTTTGGCACAGGCGGCCTTCGCAGCGCAGTAAGCCCTCGATGTGAAATCTTTGCGGCTGCGCTGCTCGTCGGGGGCGCACTTGAAGTGCATCTTGAAATCGGCCAGCGCGGGAACCTTGCCCTTGGCCTTGCCGTTGCCCTTGCTGGCGCTGGAGGTGCTGCCTCTGCCTTTGCCGGAGTCCTTGGCCACTGCCGCAACCGCTACCTTGCCTTGCTTCTTGGTGACCTTCGCCTTCGCCGCCTTGGCGGTCTTCCGCCTTGGCCGTCTTGGCGGTCTTCTTTGCGACCTTGACCCCTGTCGGCTCCTGCAGTCTCGGGCTCAAGCTTTCGGTATGTTACATCACGCGGTTTCGGATCCTTACGTTATCTTTCAGGGGAATCTTTGCAGGTCTAACCGCAAAGTCTGCTTCCTATCTAAACGGGATCTTGAGGCACTTTCATACTGCTCCCCGCTACTATTCCGAAGGGTGGTCAAGTTGCCGGCTCGGCTTCTTATACCGACGGGCCTTGGTGGTCCTCATTTCACATATGACTGGTGCAAAATCCCATACTTCAAAGCTTGCCGGGACAGCGGCTATCATGGTCTGTATGTCAACGTTCGGGGTCCCGATGAGAGGGTTCGTAGAGTTCCTTGGACAGAATTTGTTGCGGGTCAGTAGCCGTTTTGCCTCAAATCCTTTCTGGAGCTCCTGTCTGGTACGGCTGGGAAACTTTCAACTCCAGTGGATGGCTAAACGCTGCCTTCCAGTCATACTTGCCGCCAAGAAGCGTCTCAAGTGGTCCCATGGCTCGGGCGGAATGTGGAACTACTGCGAAGTAGACGAAGTCTACACGAAAGTGTGGAAAACGGAGTACTTTGACACGTGGATCGATCCCGATTCGGGCTGGCCTCACCCGGTTGTGTGGTACTTGTCCGATTACTGGTGGGATGGAGATTTCTTCGTGGAGAAGTGGCGGTGGAGGTATGGCTGAAGAGCACTCCTGGGACTTCCTTAGACTGGAATCTTCTGGTGTCCGTGGTGCGTGGGCCTGCGGCTTCTTGGAGGGCTCTCAGTCTTTCTCAGTCTTTCTTGCATGTATTTCTTATGTCCTGGGGATAGGGTCCTCAGACATTTCAGTTCAAACGTCGGCGGCTCGCCTACGATGGTGGTTTGCAAATACAAAAGGTTATAAACAATTCCAGCCACCTTGCGTTCTCCATATTAGTTTGAATTCATCCATATTACATATTCCTCGACAGGTCTGGCGTGGGTTCTCATGGTTGGGATCTCATTCAGCTTTGACCGTTCATCTTGCGTGCCTCCGTATCTTCTGGTTTCATTGCGTGCTTGGGTCGTTCAGTTTATCATTCAGATTCTCTTTTAGTCATATATATCAGCCTTGATCACTACTCATGTTAAATGGGTTTCATGGGACTTAATGAAAGTTTTCTTCACCTCTTACTTTAGACCTTGGGACCATGTGCTTTCAAAGTTGGGACCCGATTGTCACTCAAGATCTTGTTAGTCAAATTTGGGCATCCCTTTTCTTCTGTTTCTCTATCCTCATTCAACACAAGAGGAACCTAGTGGTGGGATTTATTTGGGATCTTGGACAGTCTTTCATTTATGTTTTCTTTCAGTATCCTGGGTTTCAATCCTGGGTTGGGCTTTACCTACTCTCCGCTTCTATTCTTTCCTGCTTCTTCGCCTTCTTTCTCTCTCTACCTTACGCATTTGGCGTATTGGTGGCTTCTCAGGTTTGTGTTATGGGAGGACCGACCTTTCAAGGCGCTTCATCATCATCATCATCATGGCTTGCGGCTCTTCGCCTCGGTCGCAGCAGCCTGGGGGGCGCAGCTCCATCTCTGCGACGCTGTCGGCAGCGCCAGCCGAACCCAATGCTAAACCAGGGCGACCGTCACCCTTCTGAGCATCAGCTGGTGGCTGACCGCTCTCGAGGGCGAGCGGTGCTGGCGCGCCGAAGACGGCGGTCGCAGCTCCTGTCAGGGCCCTCGCCCCCGCGGCGAGGATGCCACGGTCGTCTCGCTTGGCAGCGGCGCCTGCGGGGTTGAAGAACGTCAGGCGTGGGCCTGCGCTCGTGTCCCCCATGGCCTGCTGGGCGAGCTGGCCGATCGGCGCCAGCGCCTGCTGCGCCATCTCGCCGAGCTGCAAACATGTTGCGGCGTGGGGGGCGATGGGGGACGTAGTGCCCTGGGTGTCGCGGAGGCCCTCGCGGGTCTTGCGGCAGGCGAAGTTCTCCGCGACCTCTTGCAAGTTGCCCATCTGAAGCGGCCTTGGGGGAGCATCGCCGCGCGCGAAGTTCTTGGCGTCATCGGGCAAGAGATTGGGGTCGGCGGGGTAGTTCATCGCGTGTGGAAGGGGGTGCCGCGTGTCCTAGCCCATGGCCTTCACCACCTCCTGGATCGTCTTGGCGATGCGCTGTTGGGCGTGGCAAGCAAGGGTCGGATTGCGCAGGGCCGCGAGCTGGATGATCGCCCCCGCTCGCTTCAGGATCTGCTCTGCCGGGCACGCCGTGCCCAATTTGCATGTGAATGAAGCGGGCGCCGCCGTGTGCTCGTCGACGGTATCTGACGCGAAGGCGTCGTGAAGGTCCTGGGTGAAGTAGCGCTCCAAAATCGGACAGTACTGGTTAGGGCAAGCCCAGCCAGAGGTGGCTGGCGGCTGCATGCTCTGGTTGAGGGCGGCCAGGATACCGACTCTCTGCTGCGGCGTCTACGGCCCCGCAGTGATCGCCGCCGCAATGCGAGTGGCACCCGTCACGTCGATGCCGCGCGTCTGCGCCAAGCTCGAGGCGAGAGCGGGCGCTTGCGCCCCCGTAGTGTCGACGCCAGCTGCTTGCTGGACGCGGACACGCTCGCGGCGGGCAGTCATTTGGGCCACGATGGCGTCTGCCGCTGCGACATGATACGCCGCCTGCATGGCGAGATGTGCACTGCGCGAGCGGTCAGGCACGGCGCGGTAGAACTCACGATGACCGCTACAACAGCTACAGGTCAGGAGAGGGATGACGTGGAGCGCGATGAGGAAGGGGGGGGATGGGGGGGGGGGGCGGAAGGGGGCGATTCGCGTGGGGGGCGATATATTGCGATGCACATGGGTATGTACGGCGCGAGCTCGCGGCCACGCTCCCATCACATCCCCCCGCTCACGCGCATGGCGCCGACCAACGCCGCAACCGATTCAACGTGCTCGCCGACGACATCACCCCTGGAGCAAAGCTTCTTGCCCCAGGAAAGTCTGGCAGCGATTCTGTGCCTGGCGACATCACTCCTGGAGCAGAGCTTCTTGCTCTAGGACAGTCTGGGGGCCTCGATCAAAGCGCGCGGCCAAGGCGACAACGTTGCAACAATTAAGGGCTGCTGCCGCTTGCGCCTTCCTCCTCCGCCACGACAGCGACAATGGGTCTGGCGATGTCAGCGCCATTCACGACAACGCAACTTGCGCGACCGCAAATTCTTCAGTAGTGCCATGGCCATGTTGTATTGATTTAGATGAAGCCAGATTGGGCCCTGTCTGGTGGTCCATTAAGCCAATCTTTCCCTGGGCATCACAAGGTGAACGCTCTTTCTTGGCATCGCGCCCGCCCCAGAAGCAACGCAAAGAGACCGCCGGCCCCTCCGAGGGCCAATGGGCCACTGGGCCCCCCCCCGCCCCAAGAAACAGCGCGCGCGGACCGCTGGCCCCGCTCCGAAGAAGCAGCGCAACAGGACCACTTGAAGACCGCCCCCAAGACGCAAACGCCTACTGGATTCCCCCCGCCCACCCGCCCCCGCCACCCCAAGAAGCAAATCAATGAGACCCTTGGAACCTCCCCCTCTCGCAAGTGTGAAGATGAGAGTTTCAGGGGCAGCCCGAAACGCAGTAGATAAGCAGCTATTGAGCTGAATGCCCTTTCCTTGGGTGCTTGAGGAGTTTTATATTGCATGATCTGCCATTTTGTGTTTCTATGGCCGTTTGCTCTTCAAACGATATCAGGGGGTCCCCTTCTTGAGCCAGACAGCGATAACAAGTTATCAGATGTGTTCCAGTCATTGACTAGGGTTTCCCTGATTTGATTCAGCTGTTTGCGTGGTGCGACTGGCACCATTTCACATTGATCGACCGAGCGGATCTTACAGCTCGAGGAAAAGAGGCTCACATCCATTATCATTGACACTGGTAGTGCGGAGCTTGTGCTTCGAGACGGCCTATGCTAGTGCATTGGTGCAGTTTCTTGACGCTACTACATGCTACAAAGACCTGTTCTGCGAAGTTCGGGCATCCACTCACCTTCGAGAACCCGTTCTCGGCCGCAGACCTCACAGAGGTCACAGACCTCACAGAGGCTGACCTCACAGAGTTCCCAGACCTCACAGAGTCGGACCTCGCAGAGTTTCCAGACCTCACAGACCTCACAGAGTTCAAAGTCCTCACAGAGTTTAAAGACCTCACAGAGTTCATAGACCTCACAGAGTCCAAGGACGTCACCGAGTTCAAAGACCCAGCAGATCTTGACACCATGGTGCAGGTACAGGATAGACGGAAGAGTGCACATGTTTGGCTAGACAAAGACGGCATGCCTTGTTATGATGGAGACGCAGCTTCAGCAGAAGAACTTCTCGAGATCGTTCTTCTCGAGGTCGTGCTTCTCGAGGTCGTGCTTCTCGAGGTCGTGCTTCTCGAGGTCGTGCGTCTCGGTGCCGCGCTGCTCGCTGTCGCGCTGCTCGCCGTCGCTGCCGTTGCCGCGCGCCTCGCTGTCGACGGCGGCGGCCCCCCAGCGCCTCAGGCGTTAGTTCGGCCTCAGGCGCCAATACCTAGGCCACCAGCTGCGAAGGCATCGCTGGAGAGAGGGCCCCAGGGCCCAGTGCGGAAGGCAGCCAGATCGGAAGTGCCTGCTTCACCAGAGAGCAGGAGGAGGCCTCGTGGCGTGGCCCCAGAGGGTGTAGGATCAGGTGGAGCTGCTGGATCAGGAGGGCCAGCAGCACCAGCACCGCCAGCAGTAGCGGGACCAGCAGATGGAGACGTCCAAATGCAGCCCGCCTTGGTAGCCGCAGCTCCGGCCGCGGCAGGAGGCGCCGAGGCGCCGATGGCCCTGGATGCATCATCCATCAAGTTCGACATCCCCCTGGACTTTAAGGCGTTCGCGTTCTCGGAGCTTTTCAACCCAGGTTGTTCTTTGGAGTTATCTAGGGCGTTCGGGTTACAGCCGGGCATTATCGCATCTTTACAGATTTACATATGAGAATGGGGAGTCGTACGATTTGAGGGAGCATCGTTATCGGCGTCGATATATGCAGACTCTAGAGGACCAGGACCCCTACTTCCTCTCAGCATCTCCAGACTGCAAGATGTTCACTAACCTAAAGAAGCTTAGCGAGGGCAAGTACAAGGACCCAGAGGAGAGAGCTAGGTTGGAGGAGGAAGGGTTGGAAATGTTACACTTCACGGTGGATGCCTGTTTAGACCAGATTCGTCGGGGTCGTTGGTTTCTTCACGAACACCCCTGGACAGCTACGAGCTGGAAGGGCGAATGGGTGCAGTGGCTGGCCAGCCAGCCAGGCGTATTTTTAGTCAAGAGCGACATGTGCCAGTTCGGCATGGTCGGTACTAGGGCAGATGGCAGCGAGGGTCCTGTTCGCAAGCCGACCGGGTGGTTGACGAACAATGCAGCTTTGGCCAACTTGCTTGCTCGCACCTGCTCGGACCCCTCGCATGACCACGTCCCTCTCCTGGGCGGCCGTGCATCCAAGGCTCGAGAGTACCCCGTGCAGTTGAGGATTGTATAGTCTGATTGGTTGTAGACTGCAGGTTAAGTGGGAGGGGGCGTGGGCTCAGGTAGCCATTTTGGGTCCGTAGCGTTCGGCTCTGGCCGACGCGCGGGTGTTCCAGGGGGCCGCGGGGCGGCCATAACCACAGCCGTGCTAGTCCGCGGACTAGGTAGCGCGCCTGTGGTGCCATGGCTGTGGGCTTCCTGGGTGCGCACCTGATGATCTTGGTTACGGGCGGTGCTCTCACGGTCCAAGGGGCACTTGGCTGGCTGCCGTTCGGGCGCGGGGGACAGGAGGTCCCAGCGCCGACGCCGTCAGCCCTGCCCGGGCCGACAGCGCTGCCGGCAGGCGGTGGGGGGCGAGGCAAGGGGCGAGGACCGCCCGCCAAGCCCGCGCCTGCAGGGGGAAAGGGGCGAGGGCCGCCGGCCAAGCCCCCGGGGGCGCCGGGCGTCCCTGCGCCGCCGCGGTCAGGGTCGACTACGACGACCACGCCCGCGGGCATCGGGCGCGTAGGCGAGGGCGAGCCCACGGGCAGCCCAGCTACGCCGGCATACGGAGGTAGCAACGAGCCCACGGGCGCGCCTGGGCAGCCGTCCGCCCCGGGAAACCGGACGGGCGATGGCGAGCCTGACCCGCCGCGCGGGCTGGACGGGTATTGGGGGTGGAGTGGTTGGGTCCCGCACCTGCCCCATTGGTGGGCTGGCCGGAACGTGCCCCCGCCGCCGCCGCCGCCACCTACCCCGCCCCCGGAGGCGGGGCCAGGTCCCGGTTGGGGATTCGCAGCCTGGGTCTTCGAGTTCGTGGGCTACGGAGCTTGGGTAAGCTCCCCCGACCACACGGGCACGATCCGCACGAGTGGCGGATGGATTGGATCCGCCGTCGACCGCCTGGGCGTTAAGATGCTTGGGTACTGGTGGGAGACCGCGGTCCTATGCTTTGCCCTAGGCATCTTCACGTTCGCGTTGGGTGCCCTGGCCTTCATCGTCAACACCGCAGCCCAGCCTATGCTGTGGGCAGCCGGGGGACTCCGCTGGGCGTGGTACCAGATTACCCGGTGCTGCCAGCGACGCGGAGGCGATGGGCCCGGCGCCCATCTTCCCCCACCCCCTCCGACCCCTTGCTGGTGCGCTGGCGCGGGCCGGGCTTGGGCGGCGTGGTGGAGACGGAGTTCTACACAAAGGGGGTCCGCGGCCGAGGGACCAATCGGGCGTACAACCACGTGCTTCTGCGCAAGCACGGGCAGGTGGCCCGCATCAGCTGCAACTTCGCGGACCGGTACCGACTGGACCGCCACGGGCTCAACATCAAGATCGGGCAGGTCCTGGGGTGCACCAGTCGCAAGTGGCGGCTGAACCTCGAGGAGACAGGGAACGTGCATCTATGCCGTGCCGTCGAGTGCGCCTCCTGTCCAGTGGCGCATCCCATGCACGTCGACCAGTACGCGGCCATTGACCACACACAGATCGTGGACTTGGCTGAGCACGGAAAGGCCACAGCCTGCCGGGCAGTCGGCGTGGGACTCCGGAAGGTATTCGGGGTCGTCAAGTGGCTGCTTTGCTCACCCTGGTCGGTACTTGGATGGCTGTGCCGGGGCCGGCCGGAGCCCCGCTACATCACCGACGCCGCGGGCTATCGCCGCCTGGACATCGATTCGGAGAGCGAGGTGGAGGCGGAGGAGCGCCCCTGCCAAGCCGCACAAGTTGGGGTGCAGCTCGCGGGTGGCGCACGCCCCCTCCAGCCGGAGGGGTGCGGCGACCGAGGGATGCAGGAGGCTACTGTTCTGCTGCAGGAGGACGCGGAGGTGTCGGACGTCCCCCGGCCGGGGCATTGTCTCAATGCACAGGTGCACCTCTGCGCCCACCATGCGCAGAAGTATCGGTCTACCCTGATCGGCCGCAAGTGCAGCCTCCCCACTTGTCTCCGCATGGCGAAGGGTAGCTGCGGGGGGGCACCGATGTGCGGGGAACATCTCCGACGGGACGAGGGTCACACCGTGCGCGTCGAAGCGACGGTCCAACCTGGGATCCTCGGGGGCCTACGCCGCCGCATGCGGGTGCGGGCTCCAAGCCCCGCCAGGGCGCGCGATTGGACCGCGCATGCCGCCGATGGGGTTGGCATAGCGCCCGGGCCGGTCTACCCCCCGCCCGCTGCACCGCCACCGTCCGCCGTGGCCCCATCCGTCGATGTGGAGCCCTCGGGGGCGCAGGCCCTAGCCTCTGGGCCGCAGCCGCGTCGCACACGCTCCGCGGAAGCAAGGGCCAGCGGACGCTCACGGTCTGCCGACCGCGGAGCCCCGGGCGATCGGATCGCCCATCACGGGTGGCTTCAGGAGCCCTTACTCGTGAAGGTCTGCCCGATACTCCCGGGCGACCCTCGGGGAGCCGAGGAGGCGTACGGCGCGCCCCCGGCGAGTCCTTGGTATATTCTATTGGGAGAATGCGAGGGGCTCGACGTACGGGGCACTGGCGGGGACGCACGACTTATCATCGGGACTAGCCTCGAGGGCGTCAGGGTGGAGGTCCCAGCCAGCGAGGTCGCACGGCACCCCCCTCCGCTGGAGGACGGGCGCTACCCGATAGATTGGATCAATCGGCTGCTGTACGAGGTCCCCCAAGGCGCGCGGGAAGTGGGGTTGCGTGTCATCGCCCACCACATCCCGCAGGATCTGCTGGCGATGTTACGCCAGGAGCAGTGGGACGGTGTGGACGTGGAAAGCGCGAGCGGCTGGAGGCGGCGCTACCTGACGAACACGGAGCGCCAGCAGCTGCAGCACGACCCGGTGCGCACACTCGGCCACCATCGGCGGGGCGGCGCGCAGGGGGCGCAGCCTGCGCCCGGGATGGAGGGCTTGCCCCGCCCAGCCCCCGTGGCGGCACCGTCGCGCTTGGCGGCGGCCGCCGCCGGCGTGAGCGAGGACGCTGAGGAGCCCGACCCCCTCGAAATATTCATGGATTCCTTGCGAGCCGAGGATCTCAAAGGACGGGAGGGCCAAGCGGCGGCCCTCAGCGCATTAGGTATGACCGCGGACCTGCTCGGGGTTCCGCTTGATCAGGCGGAACGGCAGCTGCGGCGGAGAGTCGCACAGGTGGCAGCGGCGGGCCCACTGGGGTCCGATCTGGAGCGCGCCCTCGCGGATTTGGAGGACGCGCAGCTGGAAGCGCGCGCGCGGGAGCGTGCTGCGGCCGCCGACAAGGTTCCCCTGCAGGGCAGCCTCTCACGCGAGGGGTCGCGGAGTAGCTCGGCGCGGGGACGGGATCCCAGCCCGAAGCAGGGACCCCGACGCGAGCTCTTCGGGGCCATGCCCCCCATCCAACCCACGGGCCCACGACGGGGCCTGTTGGGTGATCGGGACCTGCTGGCACGCGATGGACGCGGGGGGGCCGCTCGTGGGGCCAACCCGCTCCTCGACGGAGCCTCGGTCCTTGGCCACCTCACTGGCCAGACGCCCCACGGGGGCGGCCTGGGTGGGGAGCGAGCTGGGGGTCCAGACGACGCCGGGGCGGCGGGCGCCCTGGGCGGGCTTACAGCCGAGGCCGAAGCCCAGATCATCGAGCGCCTGGATCGCCAGAACCGCCTCACCGAACGCCACGTCCTCGCCGCCGAGCGGCAGGCGCGGGCCACCGAGGGCGACAAGAAGGCCCGGGGCACCAGGGCAGGGATCGGTCGGGACGAGGAACTTGATCTTTACATAGCCCGGGGATGCAACACCTTCGTGGTTGAGGCCTGCGAGGGGATCACGGGGAAGGACTTGTTCGACTCTCTCAAGCGCATGTGTGCGCACTCCAAGAGCACGCTCAAGACGATCGGGTTTCCCTGCCTGGTTACCAACCGTGTGGCGCACGGCTACGCGGCGCTCGCCTTCGGGACGGGCCCTCACGACCTGGCGGTGGACGACTGCGTCCCCGCGCGTGACGAGGACTTCGATGGCTATCGGCTCCCTGTGGACGACAAGCTGGAGCCCCGCCAGCGGCCCGCCACCCACATGGCGACCTGGTTCAAGAGGGCCCGGTGCGAGATCCAGATGTTCGAATCCATCGTAGGGGTCGCACATGGAGCGGAGCGTCGGCGGTCGTTAGGGTTCTTGGAGGCGGCCTTCGAGAGGGACCCCTCGGAGTTCCCAGACCATTGGGTCAAGGATCTGTGGGAAGAGCTCCGAAGCACCTGGGTCGAGGAGTTACGGGAGCTGAGGCGTCGGCTCTGCCGAGAGCTCGACACCGAGAACCCGAGGAGGGAGGACATCAAGTACATCCTACTCATGCCGGAGAACGGCTACGATTTGCCCCGAACGTTCGACCTCGGGGACCCGAACGCCTACTACCAGCAGGTGGTCGTGCCCCGGCGCAAGGCCGCACTCACGCGCCTCCTCAATGGGCAGCTGAACGCCCACCTCACGAAGCGACCGCCCAAGGCGGGAGGGAGCGAGGAAATGGGCGAGCCCCGGCCCACGGCGCAGGGGGATGACAGGCCCAAGGCGGGGGCTGGGCCCCAGCCGAAGGCGGGGCCCAAGGCGGGCACCGGGGCCCCAGCGGGGACAGCCCCCAAGAGGGCGTACCCAGCGGGCAAGGAACTAACACGCCCGGAGCGTACGCGATCCGTGGCGCATGCGCCCCGCAATAAGGACAACGTCCCTATCTGCTGGGGGGCCACCACGCACATGGGCTGCTCGCGGAAGGCTTGCGATTGCCCTAACTCCCACGACCCCATCAAGTCAACGCGAGGATTGGACTACTCGGTAGTCATGCAGCTCACGAGGCGCGGGGGGCTCCTTGGGGCGCCCCGGATCGACCCCAAGCAGGTGGATGGGATGATTGCGCAGCTGCGCTCGCAAGCCAAGGCAGCCGAGGCCGAGAAGGTTGGCGAGGACACTTCCCCACCTGCTGCCCCTGACTCCCAGAAGGGAAAGGGCCGTGGCCGCGGCAGCGGCTCGCGAGCAGCGGGCGACCCGGGCCCGGGGCAGGCCCCGGACGAGTACACCGCGCTCCAGCTTACCGCGATGGAATCTGACCTC